CTGGCAGGATCGACCAGTTATCTCTCCATAGAAGCGGCAGTGGCAGTTGTGGTGTGTATTTGATGTGCGTGTATGTAGATGCACGTGAATGTGTGTGGATGTGTGTGAATGTGTGTAGCTTGTAAGCCCACACACAATGCACACACAATACACAACACATCACAATGCACACACAACACACACGCACAACACACCACAGCTGCCGCCCAGCTATGGCTGTCGAGGATTCAGAAGAGATAAGCGAGAGACAAGCAAAGCGAAAAGGGAGGGAAGAAACACACAACAGTGCAATGACTGCATGCTATGCATCTTCCCTTCTTCTTCCCCTCAGTTTTGTACACTCACTCCTCCTCCTGCACCCAACAAACGAAGCTTCCACAAGCAACACGCACATCGCTGCACGTGCCACTCGGGTCGTTCTGTTTTTCTTTTTGGTTTTGTTCTTGTGGCTATGCACACAACAACAACCCCAGACACACACACACAAAAAGGTGTGTGGATGAAGCAGTGACATTCAATGCAATGACGCAATGTGTGTGCTGTTTTCAGTGAGTGCCAGTGACAACAACCTGCTCTGCCAACAAAACCCGCACCACCATTGTAGTTTGTGCGTGCATGCATGTGCATGTGTGCGTGCAAACAACGCAACGTTGCTCACACAACACACAGCACACAACACAATACACAGCACACACAAGTACAATGGCAGCACGTGCCCATCAGCAGCATGCAGTGCGCATGGCTCTCTTTCGAAACAACACACAACACTGTTTCGCATCAAATGTACTTCATCCACGCATGTGCGCGTGCCCAACATCATCATCGTGCTCACAACACAGTTTGCCTCCACCCATGATAGAGTGTTGCTCAAGGCACCCTCTCAAGAAGAACAATCCACACCGCTCTCACGGCGGGATTGCCTCCTGCATGCGCAAGCTTGGTATCATCAAGGACAGTCGCCACCTGCCAATTTTACGGCAGACGGCGCCCACCCTCTATCAGAGATCACAGCAGAAAAACACACATATGTGCGCCTTGCCGTCACTCCGCCAGCGGCTTGCAACTTGCTTCAATTTCATAGACTTTTGGCTCAACACCAGCAATCCATGCAAAGCTTTGCTTGCTCTCGCTCGCAATACTTCATCGACCCGCATGTCACAGCGGCCTGCGTCTGCCTCCAAAGGCAACCACAGCCACACCCACAACACACAGCTGACAACGTTTTCTTTTTCACTGTGCCACATCCACGTGTGCAGCAAAGCAACTGCCAGCCATTCCCCCACACACAAACACATATTGGCTCATCACCCTTCTCCCAATACACAGCTACCACACAAGGAAAATGCAAGCCCATTCATGCGCACACACGTCATCTACGCGCCAGGCACATCGCTGTGCCCGGGTCTCAATGCACCATGCGTGCAGGCTTGCTTCCTGCGTCTCGCTGCGTCACATCACTGTGAGGAGAGAAGAACAATCAAGAGCCAACAATGCGTGTTCGTGTGAGAGAAATGACCAGCGCTTCACACTGTCACACTCAGAGGAGGCTGAACAATCAGCTCGCCCTCTTTCCGCAAACACAGTCGTTGCTCGCCACAAGCGCTTGTCGTGTGTTGCTTTTGCTTCTGCGTAGTAGAGATGTGATCGCTCATGCGAGTGATCACAAGAACACACACAGAGACACGAGCAATCGCTTGCTCGCCTCCCCACATGTGCCTCATCACACCCTCACATTGCTCGCGCATCATACACACACAAACAACCACACACACAAATACGCGCCCGTGCTGTTCTCATTGCATGTGCTGTGCACGCATGTGTGCTCGTGTAAGCATCGCTCACAACACACAAAAGGTGTCGCTTCGCTTTGCCTGCAATCGCACACACACATCACACACAAATGAAGAGAGAGGTCGCTCAGACCATAGCAGATCCAAGACCCAAGAAGAGACAGAAGTTGTAGCTGCAAGGGCGCAGACGCGGCTTTTCGTGCCCGCAAGCAGTCCTGCTCAGCGACATTCGCCTTGCTCTCTTGCTTGCGCCTCTACTCAGCGGCTCTTTGCCTTTGCCTTCTCTTTTCCTTTTGTGTCTTGCTCATTTGCATCCTTCCTCTCATGAATGCCAATCCATCGAGCGGCAGCTGTTTGAATCGCTGCTTTGCCCGCGTGCACTTTGCCTGCAGGCACCGCAATCTAGATTCAGTGATTCTGCTAGATCTAGATTTGTGACTCGATCTCGCAAGTATGCACAGCTTCACTGCATCAAGATTCTTCACATTGCTCACACCCCAAAATCCCCTGGCCCGTGACCAACCAATGCTTGCATGCAATGCATGCAGCTCTTGCGCTTGGGCCGGTGCACCTGCATGCTGCACAGCTGCACTGGTGCATCGCGACGCAGTGTTCAGACACTACTCGTCACAAGTTCGGGGCTTTTTTCATCACATGATCGCACTTTTTCTGCACCCCCTTTTTGACTTCACCGACCCAGTCTCCCTACTCCGGTGATCAACTGAGCAAGCGAGCAAACGTCATTGCACCATGCTATGCGCTGCAGCAACAGAGACAAGACCATGTGGCTGGCTTACAGGCACACGTGCGCGCGAGCACACCGCGCTGTGCGCACTTCTACTTGCCTGCAGGCACGCATCGCTGAAGCAAGGAGGAGCAAAGCGGAGGAACTGAGGAGTAGAGCAGCGAGGATGGATTCGTTTCCATGTGATTGTACAAGAGACAAGCAAGCAGGCAGAGAACGACGAGGGGCAGCGCAAGGGACGCGTGTGCACGTGTGTGTGTGCATGCGTTTGTGTATAGATGTTGCCTGCAGGCACGGGAACGTGTTTCTGATTAAAGTGGATTGGATGAGTAGCAATCCTCTGCTCACTGCAGACACACTTGCATGCGATTGCACACTGCTGCTGTGTTTGCAAGCACTCACAACTTCTCCTGCTTGCATGAGATTCACTGCACCACGATCCGTTTACTCACTGCAGACACACTTGCATGCGATTGCGCAGTGCTGCTGCGTTGCTCGCAAACATTGGTAGCTTCTCCTACATGGATTGGATTAACTCTACTACATCCCTCTACTCGCTTGCAAACACTCACAACTTATCCTGCTTGCATTTGAATTCACTCCATATCATCCCTCTACTCACTCGCAACCACTCACAACTTCTCCTGCTTGCATTGAATCCACTCCACTACAGTCCCTCTGCTCACTGCAGATACATTTGCATGCGATTGTGCACTGTTGCTGTGTTACTCGCAAGCATTGGTAGCTTCCCCTACTTCCATTGGATTCACTCCACTACATCCCTCTACTCACTCGCAAGCACTCACAACTTCTCCTGCTTGCATTTGAGTCACTCCACCACATCCGTCTACTCGCCGCAGACACCTCGTGCGTACGCTTGCTTGCTCTGTGCGTGTTGCTTGCAAGCACCCACAATGCCTCTTGCTTCTGCCTTGTTCACTTCACAACACTCCTCCACTCACTCGCCACTGCGCCACTGCATCACCCACCATGCCTGCACGCACCTGCAATCGACCCCTCATCAATCCACACCATCACTCACACAACGCTCTGTCACCCCCTCACAACTTCACTCCACTCCACTTCACTCAGCAGCAACGCCTCGCTTCTTGGATTTACTCTCCAACATCACCTGCGCATCCTCTCTCTCGCCTCCAGCAGCGATATGATCAGGTGTGTAAGAAGCTCGCTGCAATCGCCTTCTCCTTTTCCCACTTGACCTTCTCTCTTCGCGCATGCGTGCTACTGCTTGCAATATTTCTGCTTCTGCTTCCTTTGCTCCACCTCCACAACACAACACAACCCAAAACACAACACACACATCCATGCATGTGCCGCTTTGTCCCTTTGCCTCACCCTTCACTCACTTGCGCCTTTCTCTCTTCCCTTTGCCCTTCCACATTCCATGTGTTGCATTGTTGCTTTGCACTTGTTGCCACATGCTTTATTCACCCTTGTCTCTCTTCCATTCACTCACCGCCACACAGCACCTCTGCACACAACATCACACATCCTTCACTTCATTTCACACAACACAGCACCGCACAACATAACCCGCTGTATGCATTCGTGCTTCTCTTCGTCCTTTCCTTCACCACCTTGTCACCACAAGCCTTGTTTGTCTATTTCACCTGCGTTCCAACCCCCCCCCTCTGTCCTGTTTCAATTCTTGCCACTGCTGTTGTTGTTTCCATGCGCTTGCATGCCTTCCCTTGGCCTTGTTCACTACTTTGTGTCGCCACTCCTTCCCTTGAGCCTGCCTCCCCTTCCCTTGCCTTTCCTGCCTCGTTCATATTTCATGCTGCATGTGTTACAGCACATCGTAAACCCATCAAGCCCACACTGCTGCCTTCTTCACCATCAGCCCTGTTCACATCCACCACCACCACCAGTCGCTGCCATCATCGCTCGCTTCATCCTTTCCCCCACCCCCACGTTCGCAGCAGCTGCTGCTGTCCTCACCTGCATGCAACACCCGCTCCACAGCCACACGCCTAGCTCACCACCAATCCAATTTACATCACAACAACACACACTGTGTTTACTGCAGTGCAACCACCAACACCAGCAGCAGCATCACACGATACACACAGCTGCACATGCGTTTTGCATTGTATATTTCCACTTCACTTCAGCAACACAACAGCAAGCATACACGCACACATACACGTGGCAAGAATAAGCGAGAAAGCATCCCCATATCAACTGCAAGCAACACACAACACACACAACAAGCGACAGCTCCATGCTGCGCCGCACTGCTTCACTCCCCCATCTACCGCCATCATCACCTTCAGCCAAAATAACAACAACACCACCACCAGCAGTGTGCATGCTGTGGTAAGAGAGAAGAGAGAGAGAAAGGGAAGGAGGGAGGAAGGCAGAAGGACACAAGGAGAGAGACGTGCACGCTGTCAACAACAACACGACACAACAACACAACACACAACACAATGCAACACAACCCGCTCACGCTTCCCTCCTTCTCCAACGAGGTGCGTGGTCTATGGCAGCACCACGTCTTGCTTGCTTGTCCTGTGTCCATGCTTGCTCGTGTCCTTGCTTGATTGTGCGTGCCTTGCCATGGGTTCCAACAACAGCCTGCACTTCCCCCTGCACAAGCGTCCATGTGTGCATGTGCGTGTGAGGGGATGACAAATAGGGAAGAGGGGAGGGAGCAGAAGAAGAAGAAGAAGCAAGGGAGAGATGGGATGTGCGTGAGCACAGACGATGGTGATGGGCGCACACGACGTGGTTGTGGTGAACACACACACACACACAAGCACAGAGAAGCACAGAGAAGCACAGAGAAGCAGCAACGCACAACAGACACGAACAGGGGGAAACAAGAGCATAAGCAGCGCAACACACACGCACACACACGCACCAAGGGAAGGACATCAGCCAGCCAGCATCATCCAACACCCCTTGCATCCACTGGTCCATCCATGCAGCAGCAGCGGTGACAGCAGAGAGAGGAGAGGAGAGGAGAGAAGGAAGAGAATGCCCTGCCTTGCCTGCCTTGGCTGCCTGTGTGGGGATGTGTGTCTGCACACTCACTCACTGCCTGTCTGCCTGTGTGTGTGTCACCATCAATACACACATGTGTGAGACGGAGGGAAGCAAGCAGCCACATACACACACACACACAGTGTGAATCACAAGCAGACACAGCATGAACGACATGCACACAGTCACAGTCACACGCACATGCAAGTGCAACGCACCGTGAGGTAGGCATCAGATTGCCTGTCAGCGTGCGGGTGTTTGTGTGTGAACACACACACGTGTGTGTGGGTCAATGCAGCGCATCATCCCTTTCTGTCTGTGCGTGAGCCAAATGCATCCACGGCAGCAGGGAGTGCGTGTGAGATCACAACACCCACCACAGCCACGTCCCCCTCTCCCTCTTTCACACATACAAACACACGCACACACACAGCAGTCAAACCAATTGACAGAACTCACCCAAACTCACGGTGCCAGCGTGCCATGGGCTTGTGCAGCACATCTGTCAGTCTCACCGACCGTGGGCAACGTCTTGCATGCCTTTGGCCCTGCACACATCCATGGTGTGGGCGCTGCTGTGCATGTTCTCTGCTTGCACCTGTTCACCATCACACCATCACCCACCACACCCCACACAGTCCATGGAACCAAACGAAACCACCCACAACAGGACCGCCAGTGAGTGCCCGTCACAACGCACACCCTCTCCCTCCACCAACCCTGCGCCAGCCACGCACACGAACAACGCAAGCCACACGCACCTTGATTCGCGTTTCGCCTGCTGCTTGTTGCTTGTTTGTGTGTGTTGGTTGGTCTTGTTGGTTCGTGTTTGGGCGATTGGTGGAAGATGCCACAAATAATCGCCCACTGCTGCGTTTGTGTGGCAACTGCTGTTTGCTTTTTTGTTTTGCTTGGTTGGTTGGTTGGTTGGTTTCAATGAGACAAGAAGAAGAAGGAGAGAAGGGGAACAGCACTGTGTGTGAATGCAACGCAGGTTCACAGGCCTTGCAAGCAGGCTGAGGAGGGAAGAAGAGAAGGGGAGAAGAAAGGGTTGATGGAAAAGAAGAAGACACAAACACACACACACGCACACCCTCTTCTCTCTTCCTCCTCCTCCCCCTCCTCCTTCTCACAGTCACAACAGACAACCAACAGCCACAAAGGGCTGGAAGAGAAAACAAACAAGGCAACAGCCACCCAGCCAGATCGCCATGAAAGCAAGAGGCGAGGCGATGGGGGGGGAAGGAGAACACCGTCCATCAACATGCACACGCACACACATCCGTTGGGAGCCTCACGTCTTCTGTCCTTGCTTCCCTCCTTCCTTTTCTTGGCCTGGGTTGAGTTGTGTTGCTTGAGGTGGCACAGCTCGCAATGGCGTGGCATGCGTGTGGATGTGGGTGTGTCTTGGATGCAGATGGGTTCCTCTGTGTGTGTGAAAAAGGGGTTGGAGGGAAACAGTGGAAGGGGTGGCAGCAGCAGAGAGAAGGAAGAGGAGAAGCAAAGGGGAGGGGTGGATGTGAGCATGCCATGCATGAGTGGACAACAACAACACATGGGGCGGTGGTGATGATGATGTGCTTGGTTGTGTGTGTGTGATGGCACAAGCACACAAAGGTCAACCACAATCACACACACACCCTCACCTCGTCGTCGATCAACGCATCTGCTTGACATATGCGCACACGCGCACGCACACACACACACACACGCAGTCAGACATGGCATTGCAGAGTGAGACGGTACACCACCATGCACACCCATACACAGCAATGCAAAACACAACCACCACAAGCATTACAACGACAACATCTCTCCCGATCTCAATCCCCCAAATGCACGGTCACATGGCCAGATACACAACCGTGGTGGTGATGATGGCCATGATGAACGCCTTCCTCCCACTTCCCTCAACCCCTTCCACCAAACACACACACCATTGCGTGTTCTCACCTCGTGCATCGTGTTGCTGTCGGCGTGGTCGATGGCGACGCACACACACGTACAGGCACAAACGCACACATCGTTGCGTGTGTTCCCAGTTAGATGAACAACGAAGAGAGAGAAATGGGCGACACGACACGACGGCCAGTCAACCCCAGCCAATCCAATCCAGCATCCACCGCCGTGTGTTGCCTGCTGCAGTCATCATCACAATCACACAATCACAATCGCACAGGTGCAAGGAAAAGGAATGAGCCGCTGATATGTGTGTGTCATCGTCATGTGATACCACCACCGCACGATTCACGCGCACGTGCACACGCACCCCATCCCCTAACCGACCTCATCGCCCTCCTATCACTCCCCTTCCCTCTCCCTCCTTTCGCTCTGCACGCTCACGTCGCACCATCACCACCACCATCACCACCATCGCCGTGTTACTTCCTCCTCCACCTGCTTCCCATCACTCGACACAACACAGCCCACCAACCAACCAACCCACCGCCAACGATCATCCTCACCTGTGCTTGATGCAGCCAGCCAGTCAGCCAATGTGCCACAGCGAAACCAGAAAAAGGGAACCGCAATCACATGCCACGGCCACCATCGTCATCGCTGATGGAGCAGAAAGAAGAGATGACAGGGGAAAAGTGGTGGGCACGGGTCGTGTCCTTCCTTGTCTTCATCGGTGCAGCCCCAAACACGGCGCACAGCGCACATGCACGCACGGCCATCATCACAGCAGTCACCAGCAGCAGCAGCGAGCTAGCCTGCCTGCCTGCCTGTGAGGCAAGGAGAAACCAACCAGAGACGAACAACAACGACCGGTGATGGTGAGGACAACAAGGAGGAACACAAGGGACCACGCATGAGAATATGCAGCATGATGTGGGCGGGGTGCATCACCTACACACAAGAACAACGAAGCAAGCACCCAACAAGCAAGCAGGCAAACACGGGAAGCAAGCACAAAATATCACATCCACCACTGCTGCATTACCTGTGTTGGCGGCTGTCTCGAGCACGCCTCAGCAGGTGCACATCGCATGGGGAAGGCTGACGATGACAGAGCGAAGGCGATTGGTTGGGAAAGGCAAGGGAAATTCGGTTGGGGAAACCCGCACACATCCGCCTGCAGCCACGCACACACACACACACACACAATGAGTTGTGGGATTGGTTCATGTGCGACACACGTCAGTGCAACCACCCCACAGCCAATGACTGCTCTGGTGTATTGATACATGCGTTTGTGTGTGTGCGTGCGTGCGTGCGTGTGAATGTGTACTACCACCCCATCCACACACACACACACACACACACACAGCGGCAGCGTCTCACCTTGTGTCTTCTTTTCTCGCGCGGTTGTGTGTGTGCGTGTATCGCCCTGCTCATGTCATGAGGGCTTGGGAAGAGATCGGCCACCGTCCTGTGCAAATCACACACATGTACACATGCGCAAGCACAAACAATCAAAATCAGCAAGAATGACACGACGAAGTGAGCCAGCATGGCAGAAACAAACCACATCCACCTCCTCTGCCACATTCGCATCACCCACATCATCACCTGTGCACGCACATGTCACACCCCACACACAGATACACACCACCACCACCACCACCACCACCACAAGCAGCACATCTGCACATGCGTGTGCGTGCGCCGTGTACATCCACCACAAACCACTCACCACCATCATCATCGTCGTCACGCAAGGCAACAGCACATCGACGCACATCACACCCTGTACGTGTGCGTGTGAAGAAAGAGGTGAGTTGTCACAGAATCGGGCTGTCAACGACATCAACACCCATTGCCAGCGCCAGCAGACCCAACAACGACATCCAACCAGCAATTCACAATCACACACATATACATGCTGTTGTTCACACCCAACACATCACACACCACCCACATCACCACCACAACCATTCATCTCACCTCCACGTCCATGGCCGCTGCCGCTGCTGTTGGGGACCAATGACGGCGACGACGAGGAGGAGATGGACAAGATACAGAGGGCCCGTTCATCCAAATGCAGCCACACATCAGCTGTTGTTGCTGCTGGTGAAAACGGTGAAAACAAACGGCCCCTTGCCACGCCGTGTCCTTTGCTTGCTCGCTCGGCTGCTTGGCTGGTCGGTTGGATGGAAGCGAGATGCATGACCCTGTGTTCAAATCAATCGAAAAGGGGGAGAAGAAGAAGAGACACATGAGATGAGTGGACAGAACAGACAAGGAAAGAGGGAAGCGAAGAAAAGAACACAGCGTGTCAACCAACACACACACACACACTCACCTCCATCACTCGTCATCGTCATCGTCGTTGGTTCCACCGCTTCATGCGCCTCCTCAACGCTGTGAAACGTGTGTGTGCGCTGTGAATCGTGTGTGACAGACACAAGAAGAGGAGAATGTGGGTGGTGAGGTCGACAGCGAAGCATCATCAGCCACACGCCAGCCCCATCCAACCATCCGCATTAACACACAACCACATGCACGCACACATGTTGTCCCCATACACCACCACCAGCATGCACACACACGCACATTGCTCACCTCTTCGTCAGAGCGACTGACATGTGCAATGTCTGCCTCACGCCAGATTGGAGCTGGTGTCGGCCGGCGTGTGATGGCGGCTGTGCAGTCGATGGCGATGATGGTGATGATGGTGACAGCGGAGCTGAGGTGGAAGAGAGATAAATGGGGGAAGGTTGATGATGATGATGGGGTCGTTCATGGCGGCTACTTCCCCCTCCTCTGATGTGGCCCTGGTGCGCATGCAACCAACACACAACGACAAGACACAACGACAACATCATCACACACAACACACAGGTATGGCATGTGAGCACAGCAGGCGTGTTCACCTTCCTGCTCCCTCCTCTGCTTTCCTCCTCCTCGCCCCACGAGACACACACACACACACACACACACACACACACACACACACAGACACACAGACAGACACACACACCTGCCATGAACTGCTCGCTGTGGTTCGATGTGCCCAACATGACCATGGACGTGTGTGTCCACAGCTGCTCCTTCCAACCCATCATGTGCGTGCACCGCCAACCATCCTCCAACGATCCTCAAGCAGTCCCCCCCCTGCATACCGACACACATACACACACACATGGCATGTGAGCTGCACAGCTACACTGGTGCACGAAGCACAGCAACAGTAACACCAAACACCCACAGCAACAACAGCAACGCCACGCACCATGTGCCAACCAATGCATCCATGATGGGCTCACCTTGCTCACGCATGTGGGAACACTGCATGAACACAGCAGCGGCAGCCGAATCGGGGAAGTTGCAGCAGCAGCAGTCGGCATGCGAGCCCGCTTCCATCAACATCCTGATGTGTGCTGGTACCTCACCACCTGTGCTTATGTGCATGTGTGTGGTTGCAGGGAACGTGGATGGGGACACAACACAACAAGCACAGAGCAAGCCATCACGTCAGCATAGCAGAACGAGTGATTGACATCACACGCACCACGTGTGTGTGTGTGTGTGTGTGCGTGTGTGTGTGTGATCATCATCCCCCATCAACCCTCTTCCCTTGTTCACTTCACCACATCCCATCACACAACCAACCAGCCAACCACTCATCACCACCCACATACCATGTGTGAGGCGAGTGCAGCTGGTACGCGTGACAAGTATCCTCGACATTTCCCTCATCCTGCTTGTGCGTGTGCATCACCTGTAAATGTGGTTGTGTGCGAGCACCAGCATGGTGAGTGAGTGAGTGGGAGGGAAGAGAAAGCATTGATGTGTGCGCAGTCACACTGCTGCTGCTACTGGTGATGCTTTGCGTGCATGTGTGTGTGAAGAAGAAAGAGTAGAGGGAGAAAACAGAAAACAAAAGGGAAGGAACAAGATGCTGCACCCCATCCACCCATCCATCCATCCCTCTTCCTCACACCACCACCACCACCGTCCTCTGTCACCAGCCAGCCACACCACACCACACCACACTCACCCAGCATCCCCCATCCCATCCATCCATCCATCCATCCAACACACATCTCCTCTCCTTTCCCTCTCTTCTCGCCCTCACCACTGCTGCTGCTGCCAACCGAAAATGCAACTTGTGCTGTCGCCACCTGTTCCCAGCTGCAAACAGCCAGCTTCCGCCAGCAGCAGCGGGCGATGGGTTGGTTGGTTGGGGGATGTGTTCAGCAGCAAGTGATGGTGGTGGTGGTGCATTCTCTGCTGCTGCTGCATCGGCGGTGGTGGGTGTGCTGGCTGCTGTTGTTGTTGGTGTGATGGCCATCAGGGAGGGCGAGAAAGAGCGGGAAAGACGAGCAGTGACTGCAAGGTGGAGAATGTGCAGGTGTGCCGGCAGTTGTGCGAGAACGAAGAGAGAGACAGCACATCAAGCAAAGCAAAACATGCAGCCGCACGACACACATGCACACATTGATGTGGGACAACAAGGGGAGACAGGAGCAGCAGAGACAGCGACCACAAAACACGCACACTGGTGTTGTGCGCAGCATACACACGCATGCATGTGCAGTGACGCACTCACGTTGCTCATCGCTTGCTTGTTTGTGGTGTGAGTTGCTGCTGCTGCTTCCGCAATCGCACAAGCGTGGCTGGATGGTCATCACATGGCAGCGCCCGTCTGTTCATCCCACCAGAGCAGTGGTGGTTGGTGGAGGGGGAGGACAGCTGCCGGCTCAAGGGCCCTCTGTGGGGCTGCAGCAACAGCAGAAGGAAGGAGAAACAAGTGTGGAAGGTGGTGTTGGTGTTGAGGGTGGGAAGGGAAGAATGTGAGCAAACTCACACGAGAAAATGAGGAGGTGGCGATGATGGCGTGTGGGAGGGTGGAGAAGAGAACATGCACGTCGACACACCCACTGACACACACACACACACACACACACACACACACACACACACACACACACCTGTCTGGGTGATGCAGTGGTGCGATCACCATTCATCCGTCAGCACGCAGTCATTTGTTGGTTGGTTGGTTGGGGTGGGAGTTGCCCACTGCCTCACGCATCAGCCAGCACCTGCTGCTGCTGCTGATGATGATGATGATGATGATGATGATGATGGAATACATTCATCTGCACGCACCACAAACAAACAAGCAAGCAACAACAACAGCAGCAGCATGTCACAGGGAGGAGAAGAAAGAAGGAGGAGAAGGAGGATGAGCAGAAACGCAACCCCGTGCACACACACACACACACACACACACACATTGGCTGCGATGTTGGTTGATGTCATTTCCCCCTCTTTCTCATGTGTGTGCTGCTCACTGGTGAAGAGGCTGCATGATCCATTCTCAAGGTGGCCGCTGCATGACGGTGGCTGATGGCAGTTGTTCTGGCACCACACAACGGTGAGCGAGTGTGCGTGTGTGTGCGTGTGTGCATTTGTGAGTGCCATACGCAGTGGTGTGTGTTGGTATGTGATCCAACCACCCGTGCATGAATGGATGGATGGTGGTCTACCTGTGTGTGTGTGTGCACGATGACAGCGTACGCTGTGTTGTTGTTGTTGATGGTGGTGGTTGTTGTTGCTGTGCGCAGTGTGCAAGGAGAAGAAGGGGAAGAGGAGCACGGAGTGGGAGGAAAAAGTCTCACCTGTCGATGGATGGGTCGTTCATGTGGTCGTTGGTTGGTTGGTTGGTTGGCTGTGCGTGGTTCATCACAGGAGAAGGAAATGCACAACGGTGGAAGGAAGGAAGGATGGATGGATGGGAGAAAGGGGAGAGACGGTGCGCACACCCTCCCTGCACATGTGTGTGTGTGCGTGTGTGTGTGAATGCGTCAGCGAGAAGGACGACGAAGGGAAGGAAGAAAGGAAGGAAGGAAGGAAGGAAGGAACGTGGCACGCACAACCACCAATGTGTGTGTGTGTGTGCACGAACCAATGACACATTCCCTCACCCCACCTCACCCCACCTCACCTCATCTCACCTGCCTGTCAGCAGCGACGACGACGACCATGATTACCATCACCATTCCCACCACCACCACCACACACACACACCAGCTGCTGCGCAGAAGAAGAAGAATGAAGCAACGGCGAGTGGATTGGTTGGTTGGTTGGTTGGAAAGCAGAATCGGTTGTTTGCTCGTTTCTGCTTGCTGCTCCTGGTTTTTTGGTGTGTGTGCGATTTTTCTCTTCCTCTTCTTGCTTGCTGGCTCTGCCTTGATAAATGGCTTGTCTTCCTCCACCTTCGGCAACGTTCATACCAACGGGATCACGCCCGCTCTCGTCCGATCGCGGAAGCTAAGCCCGTTTGGGCCCGTTCAGTACTGCCGTGGGTGACCAGGCGGGAATCACGGGTGATGTTGCTCTCTTCCTTTTTTTTTCTTCTGTGTGGTGGTGTGGCTGCTGCTGCGCTGGTTGCTGCTGTGCTGCTGTCTCCTCTTTCTCGTGTCTTAGCTTGGCTTGGTTCGGGTTACTTCTTCTCTTCTTTGTTTGCTTGCTGAGCTGAGTTGCTTCGACTTGGGGGTGACGAGGTGGTGGCGTGTGTTGGCTCATCTCCTCTTTCTCTTGTTGCTTGACTGCAGCGTGGCTTTGCTCCACACACACACACACACACACACTGCCTGGCTGACATCGTGTCATCTCAACGCGTTTACTTCCATGTACTGACGCAGAGGAACCACAAACAGGTGGGCTGAACTATTGAACTAGTGACAAAGCTGATCTAAGCTGATCTTGGTCACGCTGTTAGACATCCTCCTCCTCCTCCTCCTCCTCCTCCTCCTCCTCCTCCTCCTCTCCTCATCCTCCTCCTCCTCCTCCTCCTCCTCATCCTCATCGTCGCACGCAAACACATCACATGGGTGCATTATCCTTTGCCGCCTTTCGTCGGTGGGCGGGGGTGTTGCACCATACAGACTCCTGCATCACATCGTGTGGCGTCTCATTGGGCGTGTCGTACGCCAGCCCTTCCACTTGCATCTTTCCCCTGCGAGCATTTGCGTGTGTGTGTGCGCATGAAGGTGTTGGTGATGGCAGCGAGATGCTGTGAGGTGACCGCGCTGATTCGCACCTCTGCGCACGATCCCCTGCACACACACACACACACACACACACACACACACACACACACACTACACACACACACACACACACACACACACACATATATATATATATATATATATCAACTCACTTGAGGTACCACGCGTTGTCGCCACTGAACAGGTTGATCCTGGCAGACTCCAGCGCTGACAGCAGCAAATAGCACACGAGTTGGCAGATGACGAGAGTGGTTGAATGGACACGAGAACAAGAGAGCAACGCACGCACCACAAACCTCGCCACACTCACTCCAGAACTCCCTGTCCCAATGACTCACTCCCTCACCTGTGTGCACTTGGGTGGAGAGGGACTTGAAGAACTCCTCAAACACAAACACAACGCGTCTCTGCATCATCTCCACCACCTCATCTCGGATCGACCGCAGGATCCTCGGGAGCTGAACACAGATGTGTGTGTGTGTGTGTGTGTGTGTGTGTGTGTGTGTGTGTGTG